ATACGGAGGCGGTCGAATCGCCTCGGATCGCGGACGAGTCTCCTCCTGGGGGGTTTTGAATTACCGCAGCCGAGGAGAGCGTATGTCGGACGCGAGTTCTGCTTACGCGAGGCGAGTTTCTTTTTCCGCGTGTGCCAAGTGCGTGTGCGGATGCCGCCTCGTCGTTCGACTTAAAGTCTCGGGGCCCCGATATCCAACTGCGTGTTTCGAGATCAACGGACAGGTCACGCGAAACGAACGGAATAAAGACAGGCCACGTGGCAGGGGATTGCATTTCCACTCCGGGCGGAAACGTCGCGCGTTACTAGACGAGCCAATCCAAATAGTCGTAGGAGTAGGATTGTTAATTTTAAGATTTGTCAATCTCAACACGAAGTGCCGAAAAAAGAAAAAAATCTATCCGAAACTATCGCGGTGAAACCGAGCATTGAGATATAACCAATGCCTCGATAAGGTGCAACTCGTTCTCGGGGAAAAAAAAAAAAAGATAAGAAAAAAAAGATAAACCTTGATATTAAATTCGCAGATGTCCGTTTCATCGAGGCGAAGATTGAAGTACACTCGTAATAACTGTTGACCCCCCCGTTTATATTGGTACACATGGCGTGATTATTTTTAAAATTAAATTTCATATTCGATAGATCCGATGCATCAGATGCCCCCTTTACGAATACCCCCTTGCTTCGCTACTGTCTTCTAGGCACTTCTTGAAATTTGTCCGAAAGTTGTGATTATTTTTTTGTTTCTGGTTTTCGGAATGGAAGGTATCATATCACGGCCAATGGAGATTCACTTGAAAAGGAAACGGCGGAGCGAATTAGTATAGCCGGCGCCATGTTAATCGGCGATTCTGTCCGAAGGTTCGAGGGAGGGTCCCGGTCGGGATTGTTTATTTTTGCGTGGGCAGAGGCGGCGCGTCTGCGCGGGGCCGGTCGACCTATCGAGCCGTCCCTGTCATCGCGTTCTCCGAGTGACACACATACGTTCGGTCCGGTTCACAGGGAGATTCGACGGCGGCGAAGTAGCGCTTAAGCCGCGTGGCCCCTGCACCCGGCGGGCTGGCCGCGCGGTGTTGCCAAATCTTCGCTCGCCGTCCCGACAGGGAGCACTCGTTGATGCACTCGAGACGAGAAGTTGAAAGTTATTCCCTCGATCGGTGAGAACGAATCCCTTCTTCGAGAACCGATTGCCACTAATTTCATACAACACAATGCGATTCAGTAACGAGCGACGGTCGAAATTGTGGCAACGTTTTGCCGATTTCCACGTGATTTCGAGCATTAAAATCCACGGATTCCTAAGCGAATTCGAGGTGTTACCGCGCGTAGAAAAATAATTCACGGCAGGGGAAAATGTGTCTTGAGAAGAATTCATTGCCAATATATAAACGATAAGAAGGTAATTCAGGGAATAGAGATATCAGTCATGGGGGCAACATTCCCCGCTAATAACGAGAAACTGGATATCGGTCGTATGATCGAGTGGTGATAACAATTCTATTTTTTTTCTCTTTTTCCACTGTGCCGTTTCTATTTCCTAATCTGGCAAGCATTTCTTCTACGTCACGAGGTAAAGGATCGGCAATGCCGTCGTTTGTCAAGAGTGCGAATGTCCATTTTATTTTTCGTTTCTTCCGTATGATGGAAGAGAGATCGAGACGAGTACCCCTCGATCTCTCTCCCGGCGAGTCGCGCCGAGATCGAGACGCGGCGTAATCCGCGCGGCGGCCTCGAACCTCGAAATTAGAAAAGGAAATTTCCGCGAGCCCGACTTCGCTCCATCTGCCGAGCCGATGTCATCACTACAACGAGGGGACTTGACACGAGGAGTTCTAACTTACCGGCCGAGAAAGGACGGCGAGCAACGGAGGATGAGAAACCGAGACGGCGAATGGTGTTTCGCCGCCGTGGGTCACTATGCCCTGAGGTAGTGTAATTTTCCTACGCCCTTTGGTCGTCGGAGAAATCGATCGCTCGGACGTCGGAATGTTTGCCGATTAGCTTAGATCTCTCGGTATCGGCCGACGGAAATCCCCGCGAGGCGGCCCTAGGAATTCCCTAGGAGCACGTGCTCGCCGCCAAGTGCATCGACACCACGCGATAACCCGTTAGACCGGGTCGCCGTCGGTGCGCCGTCTTTCGTTCTGCATCATCGATGGCCGTGGCTCGGTCCAACCCGGGCCGCGCAAAAACCCCAGTGGTCTCCAACCGCGCACGAGTCTCGACGGCCCGCCACGCCCTGATTGGCTACCCGCCGCGAGTTCCGCCGGAAATCCCCTAGGATCCCCCAAGATCCGCTAGGATACGCTAGAATCCCCCGGAATCCCCTAGTATCCCCTACGGTCGCCAAAACGCGTCGCGCCAAGACGATGCAACCGCCGATCCTCGGCGATAACAGTGGGAACCTATTTTTAAATTCCGCGCCATTAATTGCTATTAATAGTTACTAATTGTCTACAATTACCGGTTGTTTTTTTTTTTTTCTTTAAAAAGTTAGAATCTCATTCCTTATTCTCCGAAACTACATCCTTTAGAGCTATTTAGTCTGCGTTGATTTTTTAAATTATAATAAAAAGATACGGTCACGTTGCCTTTGGTATCATCGGTCAGTGGGTTCTTCCCTAGGGGAATGTTAGCTTTTTAAAAGGGGTGGTCCGGCTCTTTGGGAATTATCTTACTACCTTATTTCCCGAATGTCACGTTTCCGCGACGGTTTTGGGACTGCGAGGGGTCGACGGAAGCGATAGGTTAGGATCTCCCGCAAGGAGGGAGAACGGTCTCCGCGCGTTATCGCGTCGTAACCTAAGAGCCGTGGCGCCATCACGCAACCGGTGAGCTAACTAGCGCTTCGCGTCTCCCCAATTTTCGAGCTTCACTCCTCCCCATTGAACTATTCTTCCGCACACGTCCGACTTGGATGATATTTCCACCGCGGAGGCGGCGGAGCGGTCGGTAACGAGGAGCGCGCCTCCTCTCGATTCTCGCCCCGTCTCCCGTTATCGACTCGCGCGATTGCTTAACGCGCTCTCGGGTCGAATAATGGTCACCGGTTGGAGCACCTTTCGCTCGCGACAATCTTAACCGAGAGGGACGAACGACACGAGACCACCGCTTGACTTACGGAACCGACCACTCGAGTCCGCCACGCAATTAGATACGCGAGGCTCGGCCATTCATCGGATGCTCTGACATGTTTTCTGACCGAAAGAATGGGCGGCCATTTTCTGCCATCGGATATTCCGACATTTCTGGCATGTCGGTACAAATGCCGCATTTTCACCCCGACAGAATGTGCGGTCATTTTCTACCGTCGGATATTCAAAAAGTTCCGGCATGTCGAGCCAAATTTCGCATTATCCGTGTACACGTCGCCGGGTTCATAATTTTTTTTCAGTATTTACCATACAGTTTATAGAAAAGTGTCTCGGGTAAGAGTAACGTGGTACGATGTAGAGAGTACCCTGGAAATTATTCCCTCGGTTTGGGTCTTGAATTTTCGAAGGACGGGCAGACTCGACGGCGTATCGACGTAGGTATTAACGAGACTTGAGCAAGTTCTCGTCAAAGTCGGCCCTAACCTAGACCCCCGGGACGGCCTCTCGGACTGCGGGAATCCACCACAACCCCATAGGGACCGACAAGTTAGCTTCGCTCAGTCCCGATCTAGACTGCGAGCAGACCACGCAAACTCGATCTATCCCCTACACGGACGTCAAGAAACCCGGTAAGTCACTTCCGGTTGGCAAACCCGAGCAAGATTCCCAGTAGCCTTAGGGAATTCCCTGGAACCGACTCGCGAACTCGACTTAACCCTTTCGATACCACGGGTGAGAGTATTTACCCATCCCCCTCGTTATAAACACCACCTGACTATACTCATTAAAATCTTGAATTAATCCACGTTACTCTAAAATATTTAACATTCGACATTAATAAACCTTGGTCGTGCCGGCACAGAGAAAGCATACCAGCGAGATGCTTTTCAATCAAGGCGACAGGAAAGTGGCATCAGTGCTCTCATTCGTGAAACTTTTCTCCGAACGAAACGTACCAACCAGCTGCAAACTTTACATCAAGAGGGAGGGTACAAAGAAACCGACCCCCAAGAAATCCCATATATATATTTTTTTTAATCACTTTACGTCTCTAAAATTATTTATAAAAAATTGAAATCTCCCGGATCTCGGGACCTTCCTTAGAGCCTCTACATTCGCGTGGTAAAGTCTGACACGATTCGGTACGCCCAGTTCGGAGGAAAGTGTCACGAGCGATCGCTCTTCCGGATGCCACTTTGGCATCACCTTAAGGTGATGTGAAAGTGTCGTCAAAGAGGTTTTGTTTATAAAACCTTTCTCCCAATTCTGTCTACCGAATAGTTTGAAACTTTACAACGTGAATAGACAGACTATAAGTAAGATCCTAAAACTCATAAAATTTCAATTGTTTTCAAATTTCTTTATCGGAATTTTAAAAATAGTTTATAAAAAAATGAAATCTCGCGAGTATCGGGACCTACCTTAGGGTCTCCACATTCACATTTTAAAGTATGAAACGATTAGAGACACCGAGTTCGGAGAAAAGTTCTATGAACGATTGAGCTTTCGTCTGTCACATCGACATCCCCTTAACCGTATCGAAAGGGTTAATCTCGTAATGAATACCGCGGGAGCTTGAAAGTCTCCGTCAGTCCCTCTGAGGAAATGGAATCAACCTTGAAGACCTCCTCCGAGTGTTCCGGCTCCGTCCCCTATTCCCTATCTCCCCCTCCCTCCATCCCTTATCCTCAGAGGATTCCAACCTTTCGCGTCCTCGCCGGACCCTCGGAAGAGCCGGGTGCTTTCGGCGGTGCGCGCGCATGCCGGGCACCCTGCGCGCGCTCCGGGGTAGGAGACTTAACCTAGACGGGCCTTAGCCTCGGCGACGCCGGGGAGAGCGCGCTGCGTCCCGCCGGCGTCGCCTCGGCCAGTCGCGCCCGCACTGGATATACTCTACGGCGTGTACCTGAGAGAGCTGGCCCTGAGCGTGCGCGCTCGTGCAGGAGGTCGAGTTCCGTTGGTCGCGCTGGTCACGTGGGGCGTTCTCGCGGCGTATCCAGTCTATTCCCAGGGCAGTCGGCTGGCCGCACCTCACGGGATTCGGGATCGATGCGGAGAACTGCGTGTTGTTAACCGCATTTTTACCCGACGAGTTGTTCTGACCACCCTGAAAACGTCATTCGCACTGAGTGTGGGCGCCGCCAATGGCGCCGCGAGAAGCGGCGTTGCCGCTTCGTGCTCGACCGCCGTGGCGAGGAGAGCGGCCGGAGGGGGCGGGGGAGGGGGNAGGGGGGGAGGGAGAAGGGGGCGGGGGGACGCACGCGAGAGCAGAGCCTCCACGGCCGCGAGACACTTCGCGAGCATTGACTACGTTTATACGAGGCGCGCGCCCTGGCTGCGTTCACGCCGGCCCGCCGACAGAGCCCGCTACGCGAGATCGACGCCGATCCGGACGAGCAATGGCCGACCGGGACTTGTTTCGAGTTTATCGAGAGATTAGGGCTTTCGAATGTAGATTTTTGTATTGAATTTCGGGAGGCGGCCTCGTCGAGCTAGGTCGTTGCGACGGGGATCATCGAAGCGGGTTGTTCTCGATTGTTTCTCGATCGTTCATCGACGTCCTCGGGTCGGGTCGCGACCCTGTGAACGCGGGGTGAGTTATGTCCCGACACGGTCATTGACCCCTGTCTTATGGAGGAACTCGAGGGCGGACGACTCGTCGAATTTCTCGGAACGGGGATCGGCCCATTTTAATTTCTTTTTTTTTCCCTTAGCTAATGACGCAGTGGTCAACGCAACGGATGGTTTTCTTTGAAGTATGAAGAGAAGGACGCGCAGTTGGCAGAGACCTCGGACGGCGTCATCTTGGGGAGGAAACTTGAAGAGTCACCAGGACGGGGTGATACACGGAATCCCGAGGAGTTTTAATTAAGATGTTAAGTGGCGTCACTGGGGTATTATGAATGTTCGTGCGAATTAATAAAGGGGATTGTGTACCGTTTGCGGGTTTTCTTTACATTATCCCTGATTCGTTGGAATGCCCTCAGCGCTCGGCGGGAGACAAGACATTGGGAAATTGTACGGATCGTTAACTGCATTTGGAACGGCGTGAAAGGATTTCGAGGGGAATTAACAGGCGTGGATGCGAGCGGGTCTGGCTCCAAGAACAATGGCGGACAGACGGAGCTTCGGCCGAGAGACGCGCGAGGGGTGTTCTTCGTGAACCTTTGGGGTTCTGATCGATCGTATGTACTGCGGAATGAATTTGTACGTAATCGGGATGGTCGAGGACCGGCTCGGCTGGAGCAAGATCCCTCACCGGTCCATTTTCGAGATACACGATAAATTCCCTCCCCTGAATTTCTACCCGGAGATAAAAATGGCATCGAACCGAAGAAATATTTCTTTGAACGGAAGAAACGTTTTGTTAATTAAAGGAAGAATTATTTGACTCGAATGAATTGGACGCATCGTTTATTCGGAAATGATGACAATTCATTTGAGTCGGTTGATGTAATTAAATATCTCTTTGGCTCAATGACACTTTTTTCTTGGGGTACCGCTCGCGGTGGTGAATGATAATTAATCATAATTAATGATGATCTTACTTAAATTGTTAGAAATTCAGCTCGACGAGGGAGAGAAACCCCTTTCTAAATCCAGGACATGGGTACTTCCACTTTTTTTTTTTTTCTTTTGTTACAATGTAGGTTTTAAAGGGTCGATTATTTTCCGATTTTTTATGCACCTCTGCGAGTTCTTCCGCGACAAAGGGCGCACTTCGCGGTCTAAGTATAGTTCCTCGTTTCCATGCGAAGGCACCTCGAAAATACACCTCATCGGCCCTACGTTGTTATAACCCGACCCGAACTGCCGCGAGAACCACTCCGAGGTTAACACCGATCTAGACATGTATTATACAATGGCGGTGTACGGAGCCCCCGGTAAACGTGTCCACATTTACAACAACGCCCTTTCACGGGTTTCCTCGCGAGGCCGGCTATCGATCTTCCGCCCGGAGAAAATGGTTCGGTTATAGTAATTGAATCTCCCGTGGAAACGCAGGTGGCCGGGCTATTGCGCCGGCGAGACGGCCATTATCGTCAATTCCCCACGAAAAATTGTTTAAAAAATAATATACCCCTAATTCGCCCGAAAAAAAATGTCTTCATGGAAAATAGTCCGATTTCAATAATCGAATCTCTCGTGTAAACGCAGGCGATCTTATCACTACACCGACAAAACGACCATACGCGTTAGTTTTTCCATGAAAACTTGCTTAGTAAATAATATACCCTTAATGCGCCCAAAAAGTGGTCCCTATGCGCAAAAATCGTATATCTGGTTTGTTATTTTTAATTCATGATTTGTCTTCCGTTCAGGCAGAAGGTCACGTTGCCGACATCACCGGCGAGTGCGTAGTTTCGAAACAAGGTCTGTCACTTGCACTCGGATTCTAGTTCCTTCCTGCTTTTCTTTTTTATATCACAAATAGCCTCCCGGTGATTTTCTTTTTTCTTTTCTTTTTCCTACGTCACTCCCTACAATTAGGTCTGTGGGACGCGCGGCGAGCATTGCTTCAGATTACGCAAAATGGCGAGCGTTTCCTCCGCCTCGTTACTTTGCGACACTACGAGGCTGGCACCGACCTAGTACTGCGTTATACGATATCGGACAGAAAGTGCATCTCCATCGAGATGCACTTTCCGACGCCATTGTCCTTGCCAGATGAGTCTCGACTTCGGAGGCTACGTAGATTCTAAAAGGAAAAAAAAAAGTTGCTCGGAGGAAGTACATTGATCGGTGGAAAGTTTCAACCTCTGTATGTAGAGATACATCGTCGAGAGGTGACCGTCGATTCACGCGATGGATGCACGGTGCACGATGCACCGAGAACTGAGGCCCTCGGATTGCCAGTGCGCTTTCTAAATGAAACACAGAATAACGTTTCATCGTCCTCAATCCAAAGGTAACTCGGCGGATCCACCTTAGCACGGATTGTTCATAAATAATCGGCACATCTCGATGTCGTGGAAAAAAGCCAAGTCGAAGGACAAAAATTGTTTATAAATAATCGGCACATCTCGATGTCGTGGAAAAAAGCCAGGTCGAAGGACCAAAATTGTTCTCAAGTAATGAGCACATCGGAGCCGGTGAAAAATGCGAAGTCGATGGACCGCGATCGTGCGATACGTAATCGGCACATCGAAAGATCCTTCGAAACTCGCAAATTATTTCCAGGTTAATTAACCTCTCGCGCCCACGGGTTGATGCGATCATTGAAACGCGATCGGGCGTTGACTCATATTTCCTCGGCGAATAAGAAAAGGAGGGATCGCCGATTAATTTACGACGGCAGCGAGGTGGAGTCGCGAATAAAAGCGCCGAGTGCGGCGTAATCTCCCCTAATAACTCGATGGTTATCAGCTTGTGGAGGAGAACGGAGCCTTGGGTAACTCTTGCTTATTCGAAGCCTTCCGTTGCTCCTTCGATGCTTCGACGAGGAATTTTCGTTCCTTCGAAATTTCGACGATGAATTCTTATTTTCCACGCTTCGACAAATTTTTATGTCCGTGATGCTACGACGAGGAATTCTTGTTCCTACGAAATTTTTGACGACGAATTCTTATTTTCGGCGTTTCGACAATTTTTTTATGTCCGCGAAGCTTCGACGAGGAATTCTCGTTCCTTCGAAACTTCGACGAGGAATTCTCATTTTTCGATGTTTCGACGAAGTTTCGCTCTCCAAGCTTCGCCGACTGACTTTTAGTACCGCGAAGCTTCGAACGAACTCTTGCACGTCCAAACCTCGAGGACGAATTCCTCGTTTTTTTGAGATTTCGTGCGACAAATCCTGTAGCTTAAGTCGCAGACGCCGAGATCCGCGACCGATATGACCGAAGAAACGATCGATTAAATCGAAGCCAGCAGTCTGAATCGGATAATGCATCCGATGCATTCAACGCGGAGATCGATGCATAACGCCTGCATAATCGGCCTTCTCCCCATCGTCCTCCGTCGCCAACAAAACAAGAAAAGCAGCCGTTAAGCGTCAATACTAGCTACTTGCCGCCATAATTAATAACAGCCTCGGGGATTTCTCAAAGGACGTCTCGATCACCGGTCACTCTCGGGGCTACATAATTCGTGAATCCAGGACTATCCTGCGACCAACCTCCCCGACATAACCTATACAACCAGGTCGTATAACGCAGTCATAACGCGAGTCCACTCCATAATGCCTCATCGAGCCTCCGAACACGTGTCGCGCCGATTGATCGGTCAAAGTGGCGATAAGGGTTACTCCACGACGTACGAGCGACCGGTTGTCATAAACCGACGATTTACGGCGTCGTTCTAGACGAACTAGTCCTAGGCAACCTGCACCTTTCTCCGCCACTCATGGCAGCAACAAACGAACACCTAAATCCCCTACAAAATGCAATCCTACATCCCAGGTGCAGAATCTCCCTCTCGAGAGGAAATCGCCCAGAAATATATAGCAAACAAGAATGTTCGCAACGCTTATAAGAATACCCGGCGCTCTAGTTCCAGATAAAGCTAGATTAGGATGTCTCCGTGAAAGTCATCAGTCATTAAGCGTGTTAAAATTAATCTTAATTCCCATCGATTGTAATCAGTGTACATCTCGGGACCCGCGGAGATCTTCGCCCATTTCCAGACCTAACCTAGAAGGCCTTTGTAGGGGGTTCCTCGCGTCCGAGGAAAATGGCGGCGCGGGCCGATGATCGTCGGTCCGGAGGGGCGGGCGGCTTTACGCGGACTCGGAGGCCTGGGTGCCGAAATAACCCGGTCGCGGTCGATAAAATCGCGCGGCCGAGTCGAACATGCGGCGTACGGACACGGACAATGTGTGCGGGGCGGCGGCGGCGGATCCGCGCGACGAGAGGATCTCCTCTGACGGCCGGGAGATCTCTCTCGGCCGGTCGGCCGGTAGCGGGCCGGCCGATAAAAAAGGACGCGCGGCCTCGGCTCGCGACGGTAACCGGCGACCCCCGACGTGGCGGGCCCGAGGGGGGCGACGCGCGGGGGGGGGACATGGGGGCGCCGCACGTTCCCCGCCCCCGTCGATACCGCAGTCCTTCGGGAAAAGGAAAAGCGCCGGGCGCGCGGTTAGCGGACGGTAATGCAGATTGCGCCCCGGCG